CCCATTGCATGAATTCCAGTGTTGCCAGAGAGGAAAGTCCTTTGAGTTGAGGAAATAAAATCTGATTTCTGAGTACTCCTGTATTAACTGCTGTTCTTGCAATACTGAGACTCTCTTCCACTGTTCCTGAGGTGTAAGTCTTTTTTTTTTTTTCCTCTCTGCTCTTGATGGGAGCTAGGTATGTTTTAAAGTAACAAGTCCAAAATCTAAAGATACACTTGAGTCTGTTTCTTTTTCTTACTGAGACAATAAGAGGTCATTACTCACAGTTAAACAACTGTATTTTTAAACTGCAGTTATAATACAGCAAATTCTCTCCAAAATTATTCAGTTTCACCTAACCCTACAACAATGCTGATCAAGAGCTCCTATAGTTTGCTCTAAGGGTAAAGGGAAAATGTTATCTGCAGGTTGTTAGATATGTGCCACCTACATTATACCCAGTATTTATGAAGTAGCAATGGTAATGTAAGAGAAGAAGCCTTGTCTTGTGGGTAGGTGCTGAGTTACCAGTCAGTTCTTCACTTTTACTACAAACTTGACCTGGGGCAAGACACTGTCGTTGTGGCTTCATCATTGAATGAGAATGGGAATGAAAAAAACTCTACGGTTCGTTTATTTGGGCGTGTGTGGGTGGAATGGGATGTGGAGCGGTGATGTACTGCAGCATTATTATACATTCCTATAACCTGCTTGCTTACACAATTCCCGTCCCTGGGAGGGGCACTGTAGGTAGAATTCAAGCCTTCTCACAGCAATTTGGATCAATTATACATTAAAAGCTGAACACCACAGACAGCTTAGGAGGGAGGAGAAAAACTTCTTTATTGTCACAGCTCCACAAAAGAATCTGTACAAAATTATAAAAATGTAATCTATTTATTTCTTTTAAGTCTCAGCAAAGCTGTCAGACTTTGCTGATTCCCGTACTTTTGTTTGCTTTTTCATTGTAGACTCTTGGAGTCCTAGAATAGCCTGTATCCACCGCCTTTGTATAGACCACCCAGTGCAGCTGGCATTTCAAAGGCCTGCAAGTCACTGGAGAGCTAAAACAATGAACTTCTACAATCTGAGCTGGGGAGTCTTAAGAGTTTTCTGTTGTCTGTGGCTCAGATGAGGTTGTGTAATATAAACATAGTTGTGACTTATCTAGTATTTCCATACATGACAAAGGTTTAGATACCGACACTCTCATGGGTTTTATAAGAGTACAGTTAATTTCTTCTTGTGGGTACAGTGCAAATGAGATAGTTCTCTTCCAGCTATATATTTTTTCCAAATAATTGTCCACATTACATTTGTTAAACCTATGTCATTTTCTTGTTATCAGACTGGTGTTTTCCCTGACAGAAAACTGAATGTAATTTTATTGATTATTTCTATTTGGGAATGTTGCTACATACCGTAGAATGAAAACAGAACTAGAGATGAGGAAATTTCTGGAGCTTTTGAAACTCCATGTCTGCAAGAGGAGGAACCAGAAAAAAATAAGTTTGTGTAGTGCAAACTTAGTGGCTATGTGTTGTCCAGAAGGTACTCATCCACAAGGCCACCAGACGGATAGCTGTCTCTAGAAACTACTGCTTGATATACTAACACCTAAATATATAATTGTCAAAGATTTGAAAAGAGGGATTCTGTTCCTTAAAAACAGTATTTCTGCTCCACATGTAAATATTATATCAGAGTTGAATAAAACAAATGAACATCTCCATATAGGAACAGCCTAACGTTTGGGCAGGTTGTAAGGGGAGGAGGAAGAAGAGTAATTAATTGTCATGCTGCATTTGGAGTGCCAATTGCAGTCACTCAGGTTAAATTCTGTAAAAGTCAGGAAGTTGTTATTATTATTATTATTTTATTATTTTCTTAACAGCGAGGGATCTATTTCAATTTATTTTCACTGTAGGGTATTGATATGATTGGGGTGGTCAGGAGAAGACCAGCTTTCGTTGCAAACTGTAAAAGATAATATCAGCCTTTAAACGAATTAGCGAGTGAACAGAATTAATGCAACATGTGTGGTCTGAAACTATGAAGTAAATCAAATGATATCTGTGAGTTACATGAATATATGTATATATTTTAGCATAGCTATAAAGAAAGTTGCAAAACAGATAACAGGGCCTTAGTTCATGAGCATGAGTCTTAACTCCACTCTGTTTAAATGGCTCAATTATTTCAAACATGCCTAGATGTTTAAAATTGCACAGCTTTACAAAATGGGAACATATAGAAGATTAAATATTACAGACAATCTGAAATGCTCCTGAATTCTTGCTGGTGCATGCAATACCTGATAAAATCTATAACTAGAGTGTTTCTATATAGTGAAACCCCTGTGGGATATACCTGAAAGCATTTATTTGAAATATTCTTGAAAAAACATTGGAAACGTTTTCAGTAAGAACTACAAAATCATTATTTTTTTTTTTGGCTTTTCTTTGAAATTATCACTGGTATACCAATATGTTTTTGAATTTTAATAAGATTTTTTTTGACCCTAGGCTAACCTTTTAGAATGCAGTGGAAAATGAAACACAAATCGGACCACTGTACCCTCGCTCCTTCCATGCTTCTAGCATTGGTGCCTTTAAATGTTCTCTGATAAGTTAGAGAGTCCCCTTTTCTCCACATAATCCAATTTACAATATCTTCTTTCTGCTCAAGGCTCCACATTGCTCTGCCCTTGCCCTGAGCTCCCTTGTTTAGCAGCAAGAATTGACCCATGCTGACTCGTTGCAGTGAGTGGGACAATGCACAAGAAGCCAAAGCTCCTTGTGTTTCCTCGCCATCCCACCTTCATGGTGGATAATTTGTATTTGCAATGTAGAGGGAGGTTCTACTCAGGCACCTGAACTGAATCACCAGGGAGTCCCAATGGGTTTAGTCCCACCATATTTGCATATCTAATAATTCCATGAAATTAGCAGAGAGTTTGAAAGGGAATTAAAAATTGCCTCAAAAAATTATGGAGCAAATTAGCTGATCCTCTGAATATCCAGACATAATTAGAAACCAATAACAGCTAGAAAACAAATGTCAGCCTCAGCTGGAGGTGTCAGTACGAAGTCATCAGTGAGCACTTTTTTTCTTCCCCCAATATAAACAGCAGATGAGGTTATCTCTAAAATAAACATAGCCCATCTGCTGTCCTCAAATTTAGAAAAGATGGAAGGTGAAGACAGGCACAGATTAGCACGCAGATTAGCATTGGGTGGTATGGAAGACACAAACTCATGAAGCTATTAGAAAGAGAGAGGATCGAGAAACTGTTTGGGACCTACTGTGTTCACTGCTGTAGAGAGAATGTAAACCTACTGGCAATAGACTTTTTTTCTCTCAATTGCCTGGCATGGACTTCTTAAGATTCCTGCACCCCTTTCCCTCCTCCGGTTTCCCAATGGGATCTATTGGTCCCAAACAAAAAATAATTTAGGGGAAATTATGCAGGTTGCAGGGATTATGTCGTGTAGAATCATCAGTAGCTCTGTCATGTTTACTGTCTATGGAGATCTGGACTGACACCAGATGCCAAAAAGAATCCCTGCTTGCCTAGAAAACCTTTGACCTACAGTTTATTAAAAAAAAAAAAAAAGAATATCTTTAATGTAGTATGAGTATCATACTGAATGGTTAAGGATGATATAGGAAACAAAACTTTTAAAAGATTGCAATGTTAAACCAAGTTGATTAGGTGTCATAAGTTGCACACCAAGATTTAATCTTTCTAGAAGCACTTGGGTAAAATGTTATGATAGAAATTTGGGATTGAAAGATATTGTCGTTCTTAACTTTGAAATAGAGTTGCAATTTATCATGCTCAATGCTCTTATTCACTTTTCTAAGCTTTTGTTTGAACTGTGCTGCACACATCTCATTTCACTCACTAATCATTTGCAAGGTTTAGAGCAGGAATTTTTCTTTTTCTAAAATTGTTTCTTGTCTCTCAAGGCCCATCTCAGGCACTGTTGATGGTACCCTTCAATATACTATCATAAGCAGAAGGAAAACTAAACAAACTTTTATTCCAAGACTACAAATATTTGAAAATTTGCTTCCCCTTTTCCTATGATTTCACTATGTTTCAAACAAAAAGAAAAAATAAAGTTCCTCTTCAGGAAAGATGTTGTTCTTTTCAAATTTAATGAATGGATCAGACAGCACCAACATGGTTGAGGCTTTTTGTACTTAAAAACTTTTCAAACCATGAGGAAGTATATACAAAAACACATTGTAAAAAGAATTACATCCTCCTCACTTTTTTTGTAATTGTTGGAATGAAACTGAGTCACATGTAGTAGTGTCATAGATTAAATACTGTAAAATAGTTATATCAGACTTTGAAAGACACTGAAGTGCATTCTATGTATTTTACCCTTGCCTTTGTTAGAAGTTTGAGCATAACTGACTGACTTGTCTAGCACTGGAGCTGTATCCTATACTTACTGATGTTAACAGGAAAAAAAGACTTCATTTGAAACATGATTTTATTTTTTTGGGGGGGGGGGGTGAAAAATACCAAAATTTTTCCTTTTTTTTTTTTTTTTCAGAAAACAAAACAAAGCAAAAAAACAGTTCTTGAACTTTATCTGGAAAACTCATCAAATGTTTTCATGTATCTTTTATTTCACTATTATTTAAAAGTCACTATACGTTTTTGATTTACTTAAAATCTGTATTAAGCTTTTGGAGTTTGGTTTTACTCTTTCTTACGATGATAAAATTAGAATTGTCCTGTATATATTTGCAATGGGAAAAACACTCAAAACACTCCTGAACACTTTATTACCACATTTATTAAGTTGATAATATTTTATACTTGAGCATTTTGGATCTTGCTACAGATTTCCAAGCTCTTAAGAGATCCTGATGCATTTTGAAATACCTTTCCATACTGGAACCAGTCCTCATGTTTTATTGTGAGCTTAATGCTAGTGCATTTTTGATGCTGTGGATATGTAACTTTTACTAATGCCAGCTTCTTACTCCCTCTTAAAATCAGATTTACTTTTTAAGCTCATAAGGAGGTTTCTGTCTTGCACTGAGAATTTATGAGTTCCTGTTGTTTAAGTCACAGGTCAGGAAGTGACCTGGGATGCACTTCTCTACTCTGGAAATTAGTCTTTCAGAGAAACAGAGATAAAGTGGTATAAGGTAAGCAAAAACTAGTACATTTGCCTAATTGCCTGGTGCTGAGGAAATACTAAGCTGACATAAATCAGGCATACCCATGTTGCTGTCTTCTACTCATGTCAAGAGGAATGTTGGTGGACACCGTAAAGCCAAACAAGGTGTGGTCAGTAGCCAGTTACACCATTTATTTTTAAACAAGTGGGTTGGTTTTTTTTTTTGGATGCTATTAATGTTTTGTATTTCAATAACCAATAACTGGAAACTGTTCAAATGGACCCTTTCTTCTCAGATATCATAAAAATATCCAAAGATGGGTTTGAATTTCACTTGCATTTAAACTCCAGGCTATTCCTACAATTCCTGATATTTCTATTTGTACAAAGCTTGAAATTCACATGGAATGTTTCAAACTGAGGCGCAGATAATGGGAGCCTGTCCTTACATATTATTTCTCATAAAAGTCTTATCAATGCTGAAAGATCTGCTTCATTTTACTTGTAATTTACTCAGCTACATAATCTTTAATGTTTGCACATAATATTGTATCGCAAAAAACACCTCTCTTGTTTATTGAATGACCAGTTTATTTATATTTATTGTATTTTACTCTTCAAACAAAAAATGGAGTGTGTTTCAAGATCTTGATTTTTTTTTTCCTATCTTTACAGAAATGCACAGCGCTATTTTTCCCCAAAAGTTGTATGCTTTTCATTGGGGCATAGTAAGGACAAATCAATGAGACAAGTGTGCACAGTGAATCATAAGGGGTTTCAAACTGCCTAAAGATATATTAACTCAGAGTGAGTTATGTATTAAGATATCCATTCTACTAAATATCTGCTAACACGAATGCTGGAAAATGGAAAATTATAGAACCAATTCTGAAATCCTTGCTCAATTTTGGAGCCACGTTTATCAAGTCCAGTTGGGTGTTAATGGAATTCATTGATGAAATCACAAAGCATTGTGATACTTATCAATCACTTAAACTAAGTCTTTAAAGGAGAAGAAAAAAAAAGAAAAATGATGGCTAATACGATGGATTTAAGATTTTTTTTTTTTCCATTACTTTAAGATCTCTGTCAGGACCAATTCATACGAAGTCTACTTCTGGAAAGTAACTTGGGCTGTTATTTACAAAAAATATCCAATCTTGGAAATACTGCCCTGTGAGAAACTTTACAGACCTTGTACTGCATGCAGTGTTTTTGTCTCACTGAAGTCATCTCACGTAAGTTTGTATATTGGATTTTTTTTTTTAAATTTATTTTATAACACATGATTTGGCTATGACAGTTTGATGTTAAGTTACATTAGAATTCACAGACTCTTATGAGACATGGAAAATTTTAGTCTGAGACAGTAACCTCCTCTTCCCCTCCAAAGCTTTTGAAGCTGAATATTGCTGCTTGTGCTGCACTCATCTATAATATGAATGTCAGATTTGTTCTTGTATTAAAAGAATTGCAAGAACTTAAGAAAAGATTTTGCTCAAGTAAACGTTTTCATGTGTGATTGATGCAATAAAAAATAAATTATGATTTTCTGTAAAAACAGATGTGCCAAAAATGTGTAGAACTTTAGAAAAGTATCAAGTGGAAAAGACCTTGGTCTTCATATTCTAGAAACTAAAAAGACATCCGTCATACAATGTCATTGTGGGAACATGGGAAGTAGAGCAGAAAAAATAGCAATATTTGACAACAGCTAATTCCTATACATCATTTGATTCCTATATTATTCACAGTAAAACCTTACTGGCACCTATTTACACCTACAGGGAACTCCACTGAGTTTTATTTGTTTAATTAATTTTGGATTCAAGTTTCCTCTTATTTTTAGATTACTACAGTTTTTGCACAACCGTTACAACCTGTCTATGAATTAAGCGAGGTTTCCCAATCCTTTCTGAAATGTTTTTTTTGCACTTGTCTTCCTTTTCTTTGTACTCAGGATGAAATAATTTTTCTTTTCCTGTAATATGGCTATGAGATATTTATATTTTTTTTTCAGTGAGCTACAAGACTAAGCACAATAATCATTCATTATTATCAGAATTCAAAACGGAGTACATTTCCGACAGCTAGTCAGTGAGCAGTTCTGGCATACATTGTACAGAGAGGCCCCACATATTTAATTTCACTTAAGGAGTCCAATCTGACCACATTTTTTTTTTAATTATATATTTTTTTGTCCTTGAAGAAAAAGACAGCACCATCTGCTCTGTCTACTAAAATCCTAGTTTATGAACTCTGAGTTCTGGAAATAAGGATAAAAAGGATTAATTTAAGTAGCCACCTAAGGTTAAATTCAAGCCCACGTAGAGAAGTGGTGTAAGAAACATCCCTTGGCTTAAATTCATTTAAAGTCTTCAAAATGCATCTATAGTCATGCACAGACTTGTGCTGCTCCTAAATAAAAGCTATTTTCATCCTTTGCAGGAGCCTGTGTTTCCTCATCTATTACATATCAATGAGGAGAATAATTTAGTGCAAATCCTGAAGAGCGATGGTACCTGAAAAAGGAATGAGATTAATGATCAATAGCTTGACCACCAGCCAAGAAAAATAAGAGGTGGCCAGAGGCTGGGTAGTGACAACCAAAGACTGTGTCAGTAAGGTAAACTGTGCCCAGTGTCATGGTGACGGTATCATTCAGAACAACCCTCACCAACAGCATATATAAACTTAAAAATATAAAGACAGCATGCAGATGCTGTAGCTGTGAGGGGCTGAGTAATGGTGATGAGCTGCCTCATAAGGACACTGAAGGGGAAAATATTTATTTTCTCCCCTTCCTTTATTCCTTTTATTTCTGTGTTGCCTCAGTCTGCTTTTTTCAGCTTTTTCTGTTTGAATAAATCCTGGATCACATATTTAAAAGAGTGTTGGATGTTTTGTAGTAAAAACATGCAGGCAGGCCTCTCCAGCCCTTCTGCCATGCATCCAGGGCCTTTCTCTGCCCTTGCCCAGACCTAGTGGGGCGGACTGTGACACAGCCCCTTCTGTCAATCTCTGAATGCTTAGCCCCTGGAAGGGGGATAAAGCTGCTTGGGGAGACCAGATCAGTAATTTCATGATAAAGCAGCTTTATGCTAGGCAGGGTTGGTTTTCTTTTGACAAGCTTGATGGCTTGTAGGAACCACCAGTGTACACCTGTGGTGCCAGAAAGTGCTTGGGGCATGGTGGGATCCTGAGGCCTGGGCTGAGTGCTAGGCTGGGCCTGTGGCCCCTGTGTCTGGAGACCGCATCGGATGAGTGAATGCTTCATGAAAGTATTCAGTTTTATAGCTACCCCCTTCTAGCTCACAAGTGAGCCCTGTTAATGGAAACCTCATGGAAAGGAGAGGGCGAAGCAGTATCTGGCTCAACTGTGTGTGGCTGATGGAGGGAGGGCGCAGGCAGTTCTGCCTCTCCTCAGACGAGCTCAGAGCTCATGCTCTACCAACAATCCATTTTTTGACCACAATAGGTGGACATATAATTTTAATTGCTGTGTGTATATACAGTAAATGATAACTTTTTGAAAACTAGACAATTTAGGCCTTTAAGCTTCATATAAGGAGAGATTTGTTGTACGTATCAACAAATTACAGCATAGTGTGCATCATGATAGCTGTGCAAGTCTTAATTTCCTTTAAAAGTTGAAAATCTCCATTATATTCCTTCACAAATGTTGGATAAAACCTAGATTTTTATCTAGTTATTCATTATAGTTGCATATGTTATAGTTTCTGGGAAACTATGGTTGGTGTAAGTTTATCATCCCCCCCCAAAAGACAATGAAATCTTATGTACATTTAAAAGAAAAAAAAAAATCAGTTGGAAGGGAACTCTGGGCAGGCTGTGAGAAATTACAGTTATTCCATTTGTGTTTCAGCATCAGTGGGGTTTGCAGCTGGCTTTCAGGTCAATCTGCTAATGTCAGCATCAGCAAGATTCTGTTGGCTCACTTCCTGCCACAGATAAGGAGGATTCTGAGTACTCAGCAGGCATCTTCATCCTTCTGCCGCTGGTCACTCAAATAACTTGGGAGCTTTGTACGATAGGAGCTGTATATAAGCTCTTTCAGAAGTCAAGTGCTCAGGAGCTGGAGATCAATTCTAGAACAGAGATTCTAGAAAGATCCCCAAATGGCAGGTGGAAGGCTTTAGTTCTGTTTTCCTTACATAAACCTTATACTGCTGCAGGCAAAGGCTTGCATTTTTCCATGCCTAAAACAAATGCTACTGACAAATAAAGTCTAATGGATTTTGATGTTAAAAGCTCTAGGATACAAACTTTTCCATTCCTCAGTTTTCCTTCTCCTTGTCACAGCTTGAAGCGTTTTCTCAGTCATCAAGAGGTGATCCCACTGGGAACAGATACTTGTTAAAGTGTTAATCTGCTGACTGTGACTGTGAATGTGACTTCTCTGAGGTGTTATTAACCATCCATATGTCATTTACCTTATTCTTATCAAAGCTCAGTGCACAGTGTCTGACATGCTGCAGTTCTGCGGTGAAAGCTGTTATTACCAAAATCATATTTATGATTATTGTAGAATAAAGAGGTACCTTATGAATCTTTTCTGTGTGTCTAGTATTAAGTGGTGACCTGAAATATAGCAGGTCTCGTGTCATTTTTTTTTTGCTGCGTTCCAGAGTTACCTTGGTCAAAAGAGTCTGTAAACTGCCTAAAATGTCTAGACAGTTTAATGTGTATAAAACCCACATATACTAGTGTTGTGTTATGCTTGTTTATATATATAGTGATAAATTGGCCTTATCTATGCTTCAAGTTTAGCCTCAAACATAAGTATACTGCTACAAATGTAAACATATAACTTTGACTTGTTTTATCATCTTGGTTTAACTTTCCTGCCTTTCTCTGAGGTGCAAGCCTGTGCGATTCTTAACTCTCTTGTTAGACATAGACTGTCAGTAGTATTGAATGTCTTCAAAGGGCAGTGAACTAGTAATATATATTTAAAATGATGGCATGGCTACCTCAGGTTCTATCAATTGCTCCCTCTACAGAATTTATCACCTGGAGAACTTGCATGGTAGTTCTTTTTTTTTTTTTTTTTTTTTAAACAGGAGCCTTTGTCACCTTTTATCAAAGGATGCCCAACTCAACACCTTCATAAATAGATCATCACAGAATCACAGAATTGTAGGGGTTGGAAGGGACCTAAAAAGACCATTGGGTCCATGCCCCCTACCAACGCAGGTTCCCTAGAGCCGGTTGCCCAAGTAGGTGTCCAGGCAGGCCTTGAATATCTCCAGAGAAGGAGAATCCACAACCTCTGTGGGCAGCCTGTTCCAGTGCTCTGTCACCCTCACCATGAAGAAGTTCTTTCGCATGTTGGTGTGGAACTTCCTGTGCTCCATTTTGTGGCCATTGCCCCTTGTCCTGTCCCACAAACCGCTGAAAAGAGGTTGGCCAAATCCCTCTGTCTCCCAGACTTAAGGTATTCGTAAACATTAATAAGATCCCCTCTCAGTCTTCTTTTCTCAAGGCTGAACAGGCCCAGGTCTCTCAGCCTTTCCTCATAGGGAAGGTGCTTCAGACCCCATATCATTTTTTGTCACACATCCTCGGTAGAAGCTCTGGTCTTATTTCCTATAAATAAGGATTATTGTTCAAATTATATCTGGTCCAGAACAATTATTTATTGCTGTTTCTTCACTTGACGCATTGCTTTCCGAGTTAGCTGATACTCTGCTATCCATCACCATTGCAAAGAATGTCTCGTGATTTCTTCTAACTTATTTCAGTGGCCTTGAAAAACAGACTTTGTCCCACAGAATATTTAGTTTTTAATCTGCGTTTGAAAGCAAAAAAAAAAAAGCTCAGCTATAACATGATCTCTGAAATACATTGTTCAACTTGAGATGAAGTGGAGGGAAGGTCTGTGACAACATAAAATTGAAGAGAGAAATTAGCACTGATTTCCCTTGAAGGCACAGCTCATGCTGTGGTAGCAGTCTTAAATTAGTCGCTATAGAGCAGCATGTGGCAGTGGCTATAAACAACTACTGGAAACACTTCCAACACTTTACATATGATATTCATCATACTTTTTGTATACCTAGCTGGACATTGGAATTATTGTGATAGCTGAGAAGCAGTTTGTTTTGGGAGGCAGGAGAAAGGTTATGAAAAGCCGTGGTGTAACTTAATATACAAAGTAATAATTATTTCATTTTACTTGTATGTGAAAATGATTTACTAGCACATCTTCAAGAACAACAACAAAAATGCTCTGGCCTTTAGTGAACACACTCATCTGTGCTTGCAAACATAATGCTATTTGCCTCATAAGCTCACAATGGAAAAAGAACCTGTTACAAATTCAGTCAATGATCCAACAGGAAATTAAACCTTTTAAAAATGGATGAACCAATGGACCAAGGGTAATGGAAGAAAATGCATAAAATGGCAAGAGTAAGTCATTAACTTGATTTAAATATGTTTTTATTTTATTTATTTTATTTTTTTGGTAGTGAGGCACCAAGGTCTGACATGATTTCCCTTTTCAGAAATGCAGCGAGATGAGAACTTCCAGAGTAAGAACTGAACACTGAAAGGCTATATATATAATATTAATTAGAAATAAAGAACAATGCCATTCTGGGCAGCAGAAAAATATTAGAAAGCATGCACATCTATGAATCTGTTTAATATAAAGTCACCTTTTTCTATGACTTTTGATGACAAAAAGTTTTACTCTCGTTTTATAACATGTAATTATGTGGAAGGATATGAAAGACAGAATTCTGTACTCTGAATCTGAAGAATTCAGAGCTGGCCAAAAATACATATTGCTCCATTATTCCCACTCACAGATGACACCACTGGAAGTGGATTTATAAAACCTCACTATCATCTTGCTTTATTAGTGGTGGTGCTCTTATTACAAAGAATATCACATTGTTGAAAGAAAAAAAAAGTGTAATTGGTATTTGTTGACAACATGACAGATCCTTAACGTTAACACATGCACCCCTCCAGAGTGAAACTCTACTTTGTAGGTGTACGAACACTTTCATAGAAATATATCCAAAGTTACTTAATGGAATTTGGTTCATTTGTGGTATTATTGAATCTCAGTGTGTACTGTATTGCTCTCTTATTGCTTCTATAGCAAACTGAAGTTAGCTTAGAAGTGTGGAAAGATTCTGTCAGAAAGTGTTAAAGGTCACTTCTTGTTTTGCTTACCTTTATACTGCTAAATGGTTTAAAAAAAGTAATAACAAAAATAAAAGAGCTTTCAGCTACCAAATCCCAGTCATAGTTTCAGATCATTGCTGCAATGTTTGCTTTGTGGTACTGTATTAATTAATCCCAACCACAAGTAAGACTGATATTGCATATAACATAAGCATAAATTCATGAAGCTTTCCAAGTATTATTATTATTATTTTATTTTTTTAAGTTGCTTATTTAAGTCCTCATGCCCCCAGTCTTACAGGTTTTAAAAAAATGTTTTTATTTTAAATGGTAGATGAGATCTGATCATGAACCAGCATCAAAACTTGATGTATAATGTATTCAAATAGTATCGGAGGCATTGCCAACTGTCCATCTTAAGATCAATGTGAGTGGATGAAGGATCCGTCCTCCACTCAAATAATGCCCAGGAGTCTTGACTCCATTACATCTATGTTTTCTGTTTGTCTCCTCTCTGCCCCTTTTTCTCTGCCCATATGCATACCACCTCTTTTCCTGCTCCATCAAAAGGCTTGCCTAATTGCATTTTTAGGGAGGTAGAAACACAAGAAAGGAGCTACACCATCATCTGGATGCTTTTAAGGGGACCTGTCCACAGGAGCAGGAAAATCGAAATGATTCCATGCAGCGTAGGATCCATAAGAGAAACCAAGGGAGATGAAAATGGTAA